GTTCAAAGAAGCCTTACTGCTTCGTTAGCAGCACAAAGAATTTCTTGCTAGCAAAAAGAAGAGTAAAACCGTTTACATTGAATTAGATGATAAAGAAACAAACCAACAAGACTCTACCTCTTCTGTTAAAGATACAGAACCTGAGACCTTCCAAACAGATGTAACTTCAGAAAATAGCTCCTCTAATATAGAAGATCTAAATTTAGAAAACCCTGTTGTAGAAAAAGAAAATATAGAAGCCTCATTAGTTAGAACTCTTAATAACAGCAACAAAGAGAATATCGCAACTGAGAGTATACAAGCAGAAACTGCTATGGAAATTGAAAACCTTAACTTATCAAGAACTCTAATTGTACTTATTACAAACAACAATAAGTCACACCTGCAAACTAAAAATCTTGAAGAAAGATTCCCTACAGTCTCTTCAAGAAAAAGAAAAAACAAAAAAGATATCTCAGAACAAAAAGAAGAATTAACTAGAGTTGCTCTAAAAATAGCTTCTATAAATATTAATGGTCTTTTATAATCTAATAAACAACTTGCTTTAACTGAAATTCTTAATAATAGTTCTTATGAAATTTTAGGAATATCAGAAACATATCTCTCTACAAAACAAGAAAACTTTCTTAACAAAAATATCTAAAATTATAAAAGCTATTGGAGCTCTTACACAAATACACACCAAGCAGAAATAAGAATATTCATTGACCAAAATATTTCAAAATTTATTACTTGAACACATAGCTATAATGGACATATTATTGGTTTTGATTTCCATTTTAAAAACTAACCAATTAGACTATTACAAATCTATATTCCAATATCTGAAAAAAAGCAACTTCGCAAAGAAATTCAAGAAAATATAATTTCTCTAACACAAAATACAAACTATAAAACAATAATTATAAGAGACTTTAATAGTATTTCAAATGTATATATTGACTGAAATCCTTCTAAAAAATATCAATACCCAAGCTTCAACTTATTAAATATCTAATTAGTTATCAATTTAAAGATACTTACTGCACTTTCTTCTCTAACTCTAAAAACTATATATTCCACTATCAAAATATACAAAGCCAAATTGACCAAATTTGGATAGACTTATCAATTCTAAATATTGACTATGCAGATATACTTCCTAACAATATATTTGAATCTGATCACAATGCTACAACTATTGAAATCTCAATTATAATCAACAAACCTAAACCTCAAAAACAATATAAACATAAATGATTTCTTTAGAAAAATTGCACTAAAAAAAAAATTGAAAACTACTCTGAACAAATAGCAACAAGCCTCCAAAAGATCTCTCCAAAAATAAACAATATATCTAATCAAAATTAACTCAACAATTGTTAGAACCAAATTTACAAAGCATTAATCAAAGCTGCTACTAAACACATTTCTTTTAAAAAAATTAAAACAATCAAAGAATTAAAAGATAATACACCAACCAAACAATCACCACTTTTTTACAGATATAAACAAATTCAATACTTTAAAAATCACTTTATATCTTCAAATTTTAACACTCTACTTTCTAAATATTCAACAGATTATTCAGACAATTCATTTACATCTATGACATCTACTCTCGACCAAATCAAAAATGAATTTCAACTTATCAAAACTGTACTCAACTATCAACAAAAACAAAATACTTATAATAAAATTAAGCAAAAAATAGAAAACTATAACAAATCCTTTAGAGAAACACCAAAACTCTTCTACAAAAAAATACTAGAAAAATATAATAATCTTAACTTAGATAGACTACTAACAAATAATAATCTAATTACAGAACATGATGAAATCTTAAATGCAGTTTAACATCATTTTTCTAACTAATTTAAGAATAAACCTACTCAACCAATATTACTATTCTCTGAATTCTATCAACTATACTAACCACACTCAGAACTCAAACACTATTATCAAAACCTCTTCACAGAAATATCTGATCAGGAATAGCAAGAGACTCTTGCTAGTCTTCCTAATCAAAAAGCAGCTGGCCTTTCTGAAATTTGCTATGAATATATCAAATACTCAAACCAAAAAATACAAAAAATTCTAAAATCATTTATTAACAAATGGTTTCAATTTCAAAAAGTACCAACAGAATGGAAATTCTCAAATATCTTTTTAATTCCAAAGAAATCTAATTAGAACTTTACTCTTAATCAAGTCAGGCCTATCTCTATTATTGAGTTATTCAAAAAAACTCTCACCAAAATTTTTACTAAACGGCTTGACAAAATAATCTTATCAAACAATTTTCTCTCTAATCTAAACTTTGCTAGTACCAAAAATACATCAACACATACACCAATTCAAATTCTACATAATATAATAAATACACAAATCTCAAAATAAAGAAGCATAGATTCTATTTCAAGATATGTTCAAAGTATTTGACGAAATAAATATCTCTCGCCTTCAAAAAACATGCAGAAGAATTAGTATCTCAACTAATAGTACAAATTTCATAACCGACTATACACCTCCTAACAAGTAAAAATCATTACAGCATATAGTCTTACTGCTCCTATTTAATTGAGCTCTGGTATTGAACAAGAGAAACATATTTACCTCTGCTCTGGAAAATCTATTATAACCCAATCCTTATCTTTATTTTACAAAAATATAACAACTATCTCCTAAAAATAACTACTCAATCTCCTCTTGAACTTATCTCAAATACTACTATACCAACTATTACTATTCTTCCTCTAGCATATATTGATGATACAGTATGGCACTATGAAAATCAAAAAACAATGCAAAATATTCTTAATGATACATCAGCACTTTATGAACTTAACAACTTAACTATCAACT